GAGCCCAGTATAGTCACATAATCCAGTCAATTTTCTACCAATCAAAATGCATGGTCTTGTAACTTGCAGAGTTTATTATTTGGAGTGCTCAACTCAATTATACAATCACAAAGTCACAATTCCAGTGGTTTAGTCATTGAAGATAGTAACATAGCAAATCAACCGGAGCATAGGTTTAGATATACATGTGCATGTACAGAGTCAATCAATATCCCAAAACATATTTCACAAATTTCCCAAACGGGGCATATATCTCCAATGAACACGGTCTCGATCATGTAGGTCTAACTAATCCAGATACACATGCAGCAGATATGGAAAAATATGCCGATCCGAATCAAATAATATCCCAAGCAAAGATATACAAACGTACTAATTCAGAATCAATCAACACATATGCATTTGTTCAGTTCGGGGGCAATTCCTTACCATATGGTCCATTTACCACACCTATAACAAGCCCCCGAAATCCGATAACGACTCCTCGGCGTTTCTTACACTGGTGGTGGCAAAAGTTCTTACCATAACAGCAACTGACGTTGTTGTCTTAAGATCTCTGCCATTTCTTGTACCATTCTTTCCAGTCTATTAGGTTGGGCTGTAAAAGAGTCTGCCAACTCGTATGCCCTTACTTTAACCATCCTCTACACAATTCTCACTAAACCTTGCCAAATACTGGGATGCCTAATACAAAAATAAACACAGATACACATAGTCATATTCGTACATAGGCATGTCTTTATATTCTCGTTTCACATATCGTACGCAATTAATCACATACGTAACAGATAATTGCATACTAATCAGATATTGCATACTGAACATTTACTAAGTAATTATATACTCAAATCATGTTCATATTTCACATAGACACCCGTAGGCAGAATTGAATGCACATAAACAACTTTTCATGATTCATATATTCATGTATGTGCATTATAACAAAACAAACTTGTTGTACACATTAGTGTAACAATTCATATCTCATATTCAAATCATGCGTGGTACTTCCTTTGGCATAGCATATCAAGTTGGTCAATCATATCAAGTTCCATAATGGAACCTCCGATACTGAGTAACAGATCTCATACATAGACCACGGTATTGTTTCCCCCGGCGAGGGCCTCATGACCATAAGCCACAGTATTATGTCCCCTGGGCGAGGGCCTCTGCTAAGGATACCACAATTACGTTCCAGGAAAATTTGGACAATCATTCATACAAAACATAGTATTCCAGGGTACTTGTCATTTCATATCATCAACAAATATTTAAAGTTAAACATAACTTTACGGAGTTCTTACTCACCATCTGATTAAACTTGTATTATACAATATACAAAAGATTCTACAAATATGCATATACTAGAGAGCATATGTAGTCAAACAATTTGCAATGCAAGTACAGCACAACTTATAGCACGTAATTGCCCAAATCAAAACACTTAAGCATATTCTCGATGCTTTCGAATTCATACTTATCACATGAATGCATCCTAGATCTTTTCTAGACGCTCATTGCTCTTTTGGACAAGTGCGTGAGTTATTAACTCGTGCTCTGATACCACTCTGTCACGACCCAAACCCGCTCCTCTGGGTTAAGGCCATAACCGGCCAGTAATCACGAGACTACCTACGGCCTCAAACCAAATAAGACAAAACTCATCAGAGTAAAAAGGGCCAAACGGAAGCAATTTTAAAACTTTGTCCATAGAGCTGTGCTTATATGCACATCATAACATTCCAGACATACATATGTTAATAACTCACAACAGAAAGTATAGTAGCATAAGTACTGTACAGACAGGATCATTTAAATCTAAGTCAGCCAAGCAAAACTACATATAGAGGTATTCAAAACTTCGCCAACCTGACAAAATGTAAATACATAACAAAAGGGCGAAGACGGGTCTCGTGCGTGAGACACAAGGGCTGACTCTCTCAAAACCTTAGTTGTTCCATACAGACTTCACTGAGGTTGGGTCTGGACTTCTCTTGGCTCACCTTCAAACACATGAATGAGCGTGAGCGAAAGCCCAGTGAATAATATTAAATCAAATACAGAAGTTACATAACCATGTAGAACAACATGTTCCAAACGGCCTTGGGCCCAATTCATATTTCTATTTAACAGATATATATATAACTATACGAAATTCAAATCAAGTGACTGTAGTTCCAAACATTCTGGCCTTTGGCCCATTCAGATTTTCATTCATGTCAAAATGGCCTTCGGCCCATTCATTTATGTCAAAACAGCCTTCGGCCCATTCATTTCTATCAAAATGGCCTTCGGCCCATTCATTTCTGTCAAAATGGCCTTCGGCCCACTCATTTATGTCAAAACGACCTTAGGTCCATTTATTTCTATCAAAACGACCTTCGGTCCATTCGTTTACGTCAAAACGGCCTTTGGCCCATACATTCGTGTCAAAACGGCCTTCGCCCCACTCATTCATGTCAAAACGACCTTAGGTCCATTCTTACATGTCCAAATGACCTTCTGTCCATTCATTTCTATCAAAACGACCTTCGGTCCATTCATTCGTTCATGTCAGACTTTTGTCCACAATCCCAATTAGCAACTCATAAAGCTTATAAGGGAATAAACAGTTGGACATTGCTAAGCTTTCAAATATCGATATTACTCACAGTGATCGGCTTGTGGATTTGCCCTGAAGCTTGACCCTACACATTTCATGAATACAAAAGGGGTCACTAACAGTTCAATCCGTTCTTTAATTCACATATTCCTCTTTAGGCTTTATTCTTATCTCGTTAACTCATTTACAATGCTCAATGCATGCCTAAGAGTGCTTACAAGTGAAAGAGAACGGAAAACGAAACACAGAACGACCATACAAAAGTTCAAAAAACATGGTCCACGCTCGAGCGTGGACTTACCCGCTCGAGCGGACCCGAGAGGCCTGCAAAAGTACTGGTTACCTCAAAATTACGCTCGAGAGTGAGTTAGGGCGCTCGAGCGGAAGGCTTGTCTATAAAAGCTCCTCGCTCGAGCGTTAAATATTCCGCTCAAGCGGACATCCAACTCTGCAAAAAGTGATGGGAGCACGATTCTCCCGCTCGAGCGGACATCAAATATCTGGGTTTTCCAGATTGAGTTCTTGAGCTCCCTTCAACATTCAAACCATCATTTCTTGTCTTTAATGGCTCCAATTTCACATATACTTATACTAACATGGTATACACACCAAAACACATCTTCATGGAGCCCAATTTCATAAATCAAATACATGCATGGCTCAATGTAATTCAAGCTCAATTCTATCATACACATTCATGCATTCAAAGCTCCTATCTTTAATTATTCAAACATGCATGCTAATCTTGACTTCATTTCCATTCCAAATAATGCAAATGGTGTTCATTCTCATGGAGCTCAACAAAAACATGCTTGCATGTATGATTCAACATTTACCTTTCCATATTCAACTTAATACATGCTTGATTATGCAAAATCATGGTGATCCTACACATGCATGTGCACATTAGCTTCAAATTCATCAATTAAAACCATTATCGGGTGAATGGGAAATTGAAGCCAAAGTGAGCTCCATGGAAATAGAGTTTTTGGTGGAAATTCCTTAAGGTTTGAATAAAGGCTTGTCCTACGTTGGTTTTGTGGAAAGAAATTTATGGGTTTATACGGCATGAGTTTGTAACTTTGGGAGGTCCCCAAGGGGTACCCCAAGTTTGTAGAAGGGAGAGGTTATGGACAAATTAAGCTAGACCCATTGGACCAAAAAATAACCACACATGCACATGTTGCTGCCGTCCGTCCGTCCGATTGATTAGGTTTAGGCCTAGGCGTGGGTGTGTGGAGTGAGGTTGGTTTAAAGAAAAAAAGTGTAAACCGCAAACCGCCCGCAACCGCCCGCACATTTGCAAACCCTATCCGCACAAACCGCAAACCGCACTGCGGGCGGTTGCGGGTTGACTTTTTCCCAAACCGCATAGATGCGGGCGGGTCAAAACCGAACCGCAAACCGCACAAAACCGATCCGCGAACACCCCTAACATTCATGCATTCAAAGCTCCTATCTTTAATTATTCAAACATGCATGCTAATCTTGACTTCATTTCCATTCCAAATAATACAAATGGTGTTCATTCTCATGGAGCTTAGCAAAAACATGCTTGCATGTATGATTCAACATTTACTTTTCCATATTCAACTTAATACATGCTTGATTATGCAAAATCGTGATGATCCTACGCATGCATGTGCACATTAGCTTCAAATTCATCAATTGTAGCACAACTCTTGTTCTTGATCACCAATTAGTCTTTAATTCACAAAATTACAAGTTCAATCTCATGAATTTACTCACCTAGGAGTTTAATCTTCCAAACCCTAGTCAATTCTTGGACTTAATCTTCAAGCTTCCCAAGCCTTGAGCCAAAACCACACAACTCTCTCCCTTCTCTCTCTAAGGCCGACCCCCTCTCTCTCTCTCTCTCTATTCTTGAGTTCAAAATCAGCCAAAGTGTTAAAAAGATGAGGAATTGAAGTGTAATGGCCCTTATGTATAAGCCCACTAATCAAGTTTAACAATAATAAATAATGACACTAATTCATTAATTAAATCAATGTAATCTGGCCTGAATCAGTTTTTTTTTCAATTAAATTTCATCGTAAGCTCTAAAAATTATGCCAATCACAATGGCGTAATCAATTTTGAGTTCTGTGGCCGATAAGGCCTCCAATTTAATTTCTGAAGCGGTAAAATCAAACAGATATTCCTACGGTGAACAGATAGAAATTCAAAATCACATACTTTCACATAATGGCATACAAAACCATAACAAACACATAATCGTATACAAATTAAGGACCAATTAGCATAGTACGGAACAGGGGTATCACAATTATGATAGAAAACCATTTCATTTTTTTTAAATTTTATTTTTTAATTTTTTTATGCAACTATCTCTATATGAAAAAGAAATGAGGATTGGTGCTCAACCCATGCTGTTATATCCTCCACTGTGGTCAGTTGACTCTCTCTCTCTCTCTCTCTCTCTCTCATCTTTTTTTTTTATCTTTTCATCGATGCAGTAGAGTCGTGGTGTCACTACCTCTATTGCCGATCGCCACTGATCCGCCGCTGTCACTATCATTTGAGCGATCTACTTTTTTCTTTCCTCTCTCTCTCTCTCTCTTTACTTTTGAACATCTAGAAGAGAATTAAACAGATCAGGAAGAGGATCGCAACTTTTTTCTCTCTTCAAATCCACTCCTACTGTTGTTAATCCATTGTAATTCCATAGCGGCGCCACCACCACGCAAATCTGATTTCACTAATGATGAAATCAGCTGCAAGGTTCTCGTCGACGACATGGAGATCACTATGCTGGACTTCTATAAAAATCTCCAAAGTCACGGATTTGGATCTAGATTTAGATCCAGATCCAGATTTAGATTTTTTGAGAAGTCGTCCTTCGTCTGTCGTTCATCGCTTCAACAACAATGACAAAATCACCATACGAAGGTTCTTGAGATCGAACAGAAGGTAAAACTTCTATTATAATCTTAATTTTCGAATGGTTTCATTTCAGAAATGTTTATGAATTTATATATGTGTATCTGCGTATATGTAGGTACATGATTGGATAATGTTCATTACATGTATAGAATCCAAATTGATTTTTTATTTTAATTTTTTTTAAAATTATGATCATGTAAAGTAAATGGATAGATAGGTATGAGGTTTAGATTTTTCTTGTGTGAAGTTGCTTATTGTTCATTTAAATAATTCTTATTGATTATTCTAAAGCATAAAGTACAAAATCATGATAAAGCTTTTTTGTTTTTGTTTTTTTGTGTGTGTGTATGTGTGTGTGTGTATATATATATATATATTTTATCAGCAACAAAGTATGATATAGCTTTTGTATTGTGGATCATACAAGTATTATGTGCATTGATCAAATATTTTTTAAGAAAACTCGTTTGTGACACTACTGTTTTTATGAATGATTTAATGTTAATACAAGTGTTGGATGCAACAGATGATGAGGTCTACAAATTGTTCTCAAATTGCTCTTTTTTTTTTCTTGATTTCTGATTCATTGCTCATATTTTTTTCCTGATTTCTAATTCGTTGCTCATATATTTTTTTTCCCTTGATTTCTAATCCAAGAGTTTTGTTGTTCTATATACTTGATGGATTACAAGTTGTGTTCATTATATGCAAATTTATTGTTTAAAGATTGGTCATCAACAATTTGCAGCTGATGTTGACGGCGGTGTATGAGAGGGATGGTCGGAGCTGGAAGGAGAAGTGCGGTGGTGGAATCACCATGTCATTGTTAAATTCTTAGATCTGATTCATAGTTGTATATATGTATGTATAGCTATGTATTCATTTCGTTGGGTTTGGTTTGGTTTGGTTTGGTTTATAGATCTATGTAAATCAGAACCAGAAGCAGATCTGTGTAAATTAACAGATCTATATAGATCTATATATATGAATTTGTTATTGTTTTGGTGAGACAGACTTTGAACAGATAAGAGATTTGGGAAAAAAATTGAACATATAGTCAAAAACATTAAATAGATAAGAAAATTTGGACAAATAGATTTAAATATATAAGTGAAAAAATTGAACAGATAATAAATTTTGGACATATATTTGAATAGATAAGACACAAAATTAGCAATTTCAATAGATAGATAATTTTAACAAATAATTTCAATAGATGGATAAAAAAAAATTCAACACACAGATATCAATTTGAACAGATAGTCAAAATTTTTTAAACAGATAGTCAAAAAAGTCAACAGATAAATTAATGGGCAGAATTGGAAACAAAATATCTTCTAAAACTAACAAAAGGATTTTTCACCAAGTTATTTCACAAGGTGTGCTGCTTTTCTTCTTTGGACCCCATCTCTTTTATTTTTTTTTTAATTTCAATTTTGTCCAAACATAGAGTTTAATTTTTATCCTCATCCCTAACCTTCTAACTCTAATTTCCCAAACCCTAACATCTTAGTGTGAACCATGATAGGTTCTTTTTCCGTCTCACCACCGCAACATCGCAGCTTCGAGAAAGTCTATTAGCAGCGTCGCAATCCAATGCCACCAAGTTTTCAGCAACAATTTGGACATTGGAAATGCCACGTAAGCGAGCTGTTGGTTCGATTGACGACGAAATTGTGAGGAGCAACCGCGTTGGCATGGTAGCAGAGATTTCATGAATCTGATAACAATGGCATGGAGCCTAGAAATGTTGCCAAAATCTCACTAGCCTCGAACTTGCAGAGAGCAAAAGGTTTAAAATAAATTTCTATTGAAATGAAATATGAAATATGTATGTCCAGAATTGAAATTTCTAGGTCAAATTATGTGAAGGAAAGATTTTGGAATTACGATGAAGCTGCAGTTGCCATTGATGTTGGTAATTTCGACCTGTACGTGGGATTTAAAAAAATGGGAGATTCAAAACAAATAAGTAAAGACATTTAGCAGCACTCTTCACAAATAATAAACCTTTCATCAATAAAAAGTGAACTTATTGTCTAATAAGTCCTATGAGAAAAAATTTGTCATAAGAAAATGTCATTAATTGTAAGTTTTAGTGACAATTTATAAAAATCATGAAAAAAAGTCACTAATTATTAATTTTTAGAAACATATATAAAAAATTGTCACAAAAAAATTATTTTTAACAATAATTTTATCAAGATATATTTTGAACATGACTTTATAAAAATTAAGTTCAACTATTAAGATCTATTGATAATTTACCTTAAAAAAATATGTCCTCGACCCAATATTTTATACCCTTTTAGATTGGATTGTTCAATAAGGAAAATGTCCCGTAACTCAAATTTTGTGGCTCAAAAGTGACTCAAATGGCCAAAACGACGTCGTTTTGGCCATTTTTATATTGTTCTGTACTCAAAACGATGTCATTTTGACCATTTGAACCACAAAATTTGAACTACGTAGCATTGTCGGTTCAATAATTTACTCATTTAAAAATGCGAACCCGCTCTATCACCGCATATGTGGGTCGGTCCTTTCATTAACCGGTGATCAAGCCATCACCGTCCATCCAATCAGACGGCTAAAAACTAGAATCGTCAAATTCAATGAAACCGTGACTCTTTTTAATCATCGTAAGCCGCCGCTGTGAATTCCTCTTCCCCCGTCTCTCATTCTCTAGCTGGTTCAGACCAGGTCCTCTCCTCGCTCTTTCTCTCTCTACCTGAATTCACTCCGAGGACAGAAAAGAGAGAGGAGAGAGAAAGAGGAGAGAGAGAGAAAGAGGGAGGTTTGGAAGCTGCGAAGATGATGCAATCGACGACGAACGTTGCGGATCTGAATCAGCAGCAACAACAGCAGCAGCAGCAACAACAGCAGCAGTGGATGCAGCACTATCAGCAACAATGGATGGCGATGCAGTACCCTGCGACTGCAATGGTGATGCAGCAGCAGATGATGTACCAGCAGCAGCAGCAGCAGCAACAACAACAGCAACAACAACATTACATGCCCTACCACCATCAACCTTATCAACAACAACCACCCCAGCAACAGCCACAACAGTCTCAGCCTCAGATTCAGGGTGGTTCTAGTGAAGAGAACAGGACGATCTGGATCGGTGACCTTCAACAATGGATGGACGAATGCTACGTCAACAGCTGCTTCGCTCACACCGGCGAGGTTAGGGTTTTTATCCTATTCCTTTTTTTTTTTTACTTACATGTATGTGTATGTACGTTTTGGATTCTCTTTATTTGTTAGCTGAATCTTAGCATTGAAGTAAATCGTTTGTATTGTGGTGGACGATTTGATTGGTAATTCATTGATCTAAAGCTGTTTGAAGAAAATTTGGCATGGATTTGAATAGACGGTTAATTAGAATATGGAAATTTGCTGATATGTGACATAAATCTTGAACGTGAAGTTACCTTATTTGATTGAGTCGGTGATGTGTGGTAATAGTAAATTAACACTTGGGGTTGGGATTAAATGATAGGGAAAACAACTTCCACACATGCTCGTGAAAGAGTATAGAAAGGCTAAATCTACTTTTGGAACCTTACCCCATTCTTTAGTGTGTGTCAAGTTTTGGAAACTGTGGTCAATTTGGTATAGAGAATTTCTAACCAAGTCATTTAGCCTCTTATGTTTTGTGGCGGTGTTGAGCACAATTAGAGATACAAACTGAAACTCATCCTTAAATTGAGTCAACTGACTTGGCTTACTACCTATTTTAGATTTCAAAAAAAATTGAGAGCTGCCATACCATTGATTTAGAAGTGCCCTTGTGACATACTTTACAACCTTTCACTCCAAATACTACATCTGTGATGTACGTTTAATCTATTAGTTCTTCACCAGACAGAGAACATGCATTTTAGAGAACAAACCACATTTTTGTTAGTCTTGAACCCATCGCAGAGGTTTTATGGCTGAAATAGACAACCATCTGTTATCATACATCTTGGTAGCAGAGATGGCGATGAATGGCCTTAGTGAGACTATCTTTTAGGGCTCTCCTGTAGCGGGTCCGCACTTTCTTCCGTTCTTCCCTCCTTGCCAGGTATGATGCTGATGTACTGATCTCTCTCCTCTCTCTCTACTCCGCACCACAAAGGCAGTCAATTTTCCCAAGGCACATAAATTGGTTAGCAAGCAGCACTGTTCTATGGATGTTTGAGAGAGGGGACAGAGAGAGACCATATCAGAGAAGAGCTACAGTTAAAAAAAATGCTTAAAAAATTTGAGAGAAGGCAGCTGCCTGCTCCCAGGCATAAGATAAGGTGGCTTCCTCGTTGGTTGCGTGCACGTCATTGCAAAGATGTTCAGAGAGGATTTTATGGAGACTGAATGAGTCTATTTTGGCTTATATTTGTTTGGGTTGTTGAGACATTTCTTCGTAGAATAACTTAAATAACTCTTGGGAAAGTGGATGTTATTTTCTTATTGTCCCAATTCGAATGAAATATTTAGCGACACTATGTAGAGGTGTCATGCATTCATGACATAAACAAATGGTAAACCCCAAATGGGGTGGTGGTGGAGAGGTTCATATTGATGCTACACAAACAGTATGACTCAATGACACAATGAAAATAATTGATTTTAATGGTGTATGGATGTACTTGCAGCTATAAGTGTGGTGTGGTCCACTTGGATTTTGTGGATTTACAAACCTTTGAAGTCTATTAAGTTTTCAAAATTTAATTATTTCATAATGTCACTATTTGCAGCCATCCTTACATGACAAGTGAAATGGCTAGAAAGAGACAATGGCAAAAGTTTCAACCTGCTAATCAAATATCTCTAAATAGATATGGCCAACTTATATATCAGATTTGGTGGTTTAAGTGTGTGGATAGAAATAACCATCCATGCTATGATTTAGTGACTCAACTCTATTAAGGACAGAGCTCCTGTTGATACATATCAACACGGACACACATGTCAACATGCATTTTGACATGTATACTTGTGTCAAGAAGAGAGACAATCTGACATTCGAAACTCTAAAGCCAACAGAAGAATAGTAGCATAGTAGCAGTAGAAGGAGATGAGAGAGAGAAAGGATGACAGAACAAGTGTGTGTGTGTGAGAGAGAGAGGTTACTCTTTTTCTTCTTCATGTTGTTGTTGTTGTCATTGTTGATGGTGTCTATGAAGCATGCATACTAATATCAGATACCAAATACGATATGATATGTATACATTGATATGACGAAACCTAAAAAAATAGGATACAAGTATGGTCCCGATATGTTTGTGGAATTTTTTTTTTTTTTAGTAGTGTATTACACATAAGGTAAAAGAATGGTATTAGTTTTAGAGCTAATAACTAGTTTACTTTTAATTTTCAGTAGGTTTTGTAAAATTTTCATTTCAATATTGATTTTAACTGTTTGTATTGTACTGGCCATGCGATTGTTCCTTTCATAGTCAAAATGTTATATGTATTAGTGTTGTACACAAGTTTACTTGTTTGTTTAATTGTTGAAATTCAATTTTAGTATCGTTACATTGTTTAATATTTATTATGATTTTCTATAGAGCATAGATGTGTATATGGGGCACATGCTCTATTATTAGAATCTTACGATTTGTGATTTGATTCGCAATTTTTGTAAAATTGATACAATCTATGAGTGAATCTATTTTGGAAGTGAATCTCTAGTGAATCGCACAATTCACGATTCGATTCACTTTTTACGATTCATGCAATTCTTGAAACTATCGAGTTCGATATATATTTTTTACTTTTTATTTTTCTATCTTTTTATTGAAAATGACATAATACAACTTTTAATAACATTTAGTACCAAAATAACCAATATATGTACATGATTTGTTATTATTTTAGTGATTATGGAGTTTTTAATAGGATTCAATCAGATTCAGTTAGACCCAGCATGCTTTTAATGTTTATTCTTGTTTTTTTTTTCTCTGTAAATAATCATAATATATCTTCTAAAGGTGTTTAAAATTGAAGCAACTTAAACCATGAATTATCTATTGCTATTTTATTAAATTAAATACAACTTTTAATAGCATTTAGTACCAAAATAACCAATATATGTACATGATTTGTTGTTATTTTAGTGATTATGGAGTTTTTAATAGGATTCAATCAGATTCAGTTAGACCCAGCATGCTTTTAACGTTTATTCTTATTTTTTTTTTCTCTGTAAATAATCATAATATATCTTCTAAAGGTGTTTAAAATTGAAGCAACTTAAACCATGAATTATCTATTGCTATTTTATTAAATTAAATATAGTTGCATATTACATGGGCAAGGTCAATTATATATTTGAAAATGTTTTAGATTTTAAAATAAAAGATCCCAAATAATATTTTTTTATTGTTTGGTCATTGTTATTTGGAAAAAGTATGTATGCTTCTTGTCCAATTATTGACATCATTGTCAAATTAATCAGCTTGTTTGGTTTGGATTTTCAAAATTTATTTTTCAAAATATTGAAAATTTTTATTTTCCTTGTTTTTTTTTTGTTTTTATTGAATTTTTTTAATATTCTAAGCAATTTTTAATTTTTTTTTATATACATGTACACCTAACATAAATACACATAAAAAGTATAATATTTATGAAAAAAATCTTTAGAAAATTTACTAAATATAAAAAATACAAGAAAAAAACGACGACGAGAATTCAGTATATTTTTGGGTTCTTGTGCATTTATTGATTTTTTAAAAATATTTTATATTTTAGGTACATCTAAGTAAGGTGCATATAAAAAAGTAAAATTGTTTAAAATTTTAAAAATATTCACTAAAAACAAAAAAAACAGTAATGCTTGGTGACCCTAAAATTCATGGCTCGAATGGCTTGAATGTGTCAAAATGACGTCGTTTTGGGGATAAAACGACGTTTTGATACATTCGAGCCATTTGGGTCACACAAATTCGGGCCACTAAACATTTTTATTTATTTTTATTTTTTAGATACATCTAAATAAGGTGCATATGAAAAAGTAAAAAAATTGTTTAAAATTTTAAATATATTCACTAAAAACAAAAAAATATGAAAAATAAAAACTCAATTTTCAGAAAATTGAATTTAGAAAATTGAAACCAAACACCCTAATTGTTATTTTGGAAATTGAGAGTTTGCCTTTATTTATTGTCTTTATTAAGAATGGTTGATAAGAAATATCTAAAAAAGGGAAAAGGTAAGATGGTGATTTTATGTAGGAATCTTTGTTAAGTTCTTACTTATTAAACTACAAGATTATCATTCAAAACAACGTTTTCATTGATTTAATATTCATAAGATATATTTGACATCAAAGTATATAGATATATTTTTATAAAGTAATTTAGAAAAAGTGACTGAATCTTTACGATTTATGATTCGATTTGATTCGCGATTCGGTATAAGGTTATTTCAATTCACGATTCGAATTCTGATTTGACAACTATGAGCACATGTATGATACATTAAGGATAGGTTAATTTGGTAAATTCTGAAAACATAAGGATACTACAATACTACTTTAATCTCACTAATTGATTTTTTTTTCTTTTCCTCTAAGAAGTAAGTAATATTTTGAAAAACTATTATTGTATTTGGCCCTATTTGGTAGGGTTTATTTCCAGCTTATTTCAGCTTTTAGCTTAATTTAAGTTATTTTGATGTGTTTGGTTCAGCTTAACAATACAGCTTATAGCTTTTTGTAAGTCAAAAATCAACTTATTCTTTGAGTGGGAGAGGAGAAGCTTAATTTATAAATAAAAAATCAGCTTATATTTACAGCTATAAGCTATAAGCTGTTAGGCTATAAGTTATACATTTTCTCACAGCTCTACCAAACGGGGCCTTTATCTTGATACTTACTCCAATGTTATCTAAGAATTATTACAATATTGATTTCATAATTGTTCATGTATTGCCACCTAGAGTGTCTTAAAATTATCTAACACTTCTCAAAATTAAGGAAATCAATTTCAAATTATCGATATGTCTAGGAAGTTCTAGAGATGTATCAACGAATATCCAAAGAGTATCGGTATTTACGAATACAATTACCTCTATGATTGTTTCCTTTGAGAAGGGAGAACGCAATAAAATAAGGTAGTGTTTGGTTCACTGGAATGTAAGGGTGTGTGTGGTGCGGTTTTGGAGAAAAATAGAAATCATATGGCGGGTGGCGGATTGATAAAAATATCATTAGAATTTGCCATTTTTCTTACCAAAAACCGGTGATTCGATTGGCAAATAATGAAGGATTTGCCTTGGCGGTTTGGGCAGATTGACGGTTTATAACAAAAATATAATTCAAATTACAAAACTTGAATCAAAGAGTAAAAAGATCTAATTTATAAATTAACTGAAATAGTCAAAATTAAAATATTCATCTAATATAACATTAAATATTAACAAACTAGTAAACTAAAAATCCAACAATCCAAACAAATTATACAATGACAATTTAACAAGGCAATAAATACTAAAAAACATAACATCATCCAACATTGAGGAACCTGTTGGAGAGCCTCCAAAATTTACTTATGCATCTATTAAGGAACCTGTTAGAGAGCCTCCAAAATCCAACATCTAACATAGTTGTAAAAAAAAGTTAAAAAGTTGAGAGAGAGAGAGAAGTTTGAATTGGTTGAGACCCGACGGGCGGTCAAGGCAAGGTTGCCGCCCGCCGGAAGGCGAAGAACACCAAAATTTTTAACCTATTGCTCTGATACCATCTGAAAAATAGATGTATTATTGATTGATATATTGATATTAATTGATTTTTGTCTATTACAAATGGTTCCTTATATAGATGTAGGTGTAGTGGATGGTGGTAGTGGTGTAGTGGGTTAGGTTTAGTGGAGTAGGTGAGGTGGTAGTCCGCAAACAATCCAAAAGTTCAAAAAGTTAATCTACTCATCAAACTTCACAATAACTTCAATTCTTCAGAATTGTTTCAACCAAACTCTAAAAACTTCATTAATTTATAGACATAAGCAAAGAAAACATAAATAAATAACAAAAAACTCTAATCAAAATCATTATAAAAAAAAAAATAAAAAAAATAACCAATACAACAAAATAATATCCAAGAGTAAGAATTAAGTCTAACCTTAAGAACTTTAGAACCAAACTAACTTGGAGACAAATTAGTCCTCAACAATAGTTGTTTCTTGTGTAGTAGATGATGCAAAAAATTTTGAAAAATAAAAAATATTTTTAATGTTATTCAAAATTACATAAAAGCTAAAATCAATATTGAATAATTAATTTAAAATAAACACAAATCTAAAAAGTTACCTGACTCAATTTCTTCATATTGTTCAACATCATCCATACATTCTCTAAGACTAATTGGAATTGATGAAGACCTTAACCAATTTTGTACACAAATTAGAGCCTCCACCATTTTTGGCGTCAAAGAACGCCTAAATGGATCAAGCACACGGCTACTAGTACTAAAAGCTGACTCAGAGGTCACTGTAGAAACTGGGACAGCCAACACATCTCTTCCTATTAGAGAAAACCTTATACTTATTGCCATTAACCTTCCACCAATTCAAAATATCAAAGTTTGGAACTCTTGGGTCTACACAATCATCAACCAAATATTTTTCCAAACTCTGATTTGTTCTCCACACTTTTTCCCGACTCCAAATGGTTAATATATTGAGAGGCAAAGAGTGTCATGAGATCTTCCTCTTCCTCGTCATCAACTTCCATCACTTGAAGAGCTTTACTTGCAAATGAAGGTGCAACATTACCAACATTGTTTTTTTCAACATAATGATCAAACAAGCGTTCCAATGTTGCCTTCACCCTTGCAACTAAAATTTCTACCTTGTCATTTTCATACACTTTATTGAATGAAAACTTAAGATATGTGAACTTGTAGCGAGGGTCTAACACAACGGCAACATATAACAAGAAATTGATATTATCAAGATTCTCCCAATATTTGTCGTATTCCAATTTCATCTTATCAGCCATGTTACTCAACACTACATCTCCACTTTTTTACTTAGTTGAACTAATTTAGATTGCACCGATACAAGTTGATGAAAAAAAACATTAGATGTCACATGCAAAGATCCTAAAAGTTGCAAAATCACGAGATAAAAAAGTCTTAAAAATTTCACAAAGACTCTAGCTACCTCCCAATCTTCTTCTTTAGGATATGAAATGAATCTTTTTCCTTTCCCTTTGCCTCTTCCACCATCATTCTCATTTTCATCATCATTCTCCATGTAAAATAACTTGAATCGTGGGTCTTTCTCTTCTAAACACTCAAAAGCTTTTTGGAATTTCTTGGCTACCTCCAACATCAAATAGGTGGAATTCCACCTTGTTGGAACATCAAGGCATAGCAAACTTTTATAAGTAATCTTTTTATGCTCCACACAATTTTTAAAAGTTTGTAGTCTAGCTGGAGATGACTTTACATATTTCACAGCTTTTCTAATCTTGGCAATTGAGTGATTTTATACTTTTAAACCATCACAAATAATTAAATTCACTATGTGTGCGCAACATCTCATATTCAAAAACTCATTTGCCAAGATAATGGTAGGCCAATCTTTGGTTCTTCTCTTAAAAAATGCAATAGCACCATCATTAGAGCTTGCATTATCAATTGTTATAGTGAAAATCTTATCAATCCCCCAGTTTTGCAAGCATTTGTCTAATTGTTTGCCAATTGTCTCACCCTTATGATTAGGAACTATATAAAAACTAAGAATTCTTTTATGCAAATTCCAATCATTATCAATCCAATGGCCGGTGACACATATAATTTAGATTTTGAATTGATGTCCAAGTGTCAGTGGTTAGGCATACTAGTTGCTTCCTTAGAACTTTCTTCAATTTTTGCTTTTCATCAAGAAATAAGTTCAGACAATCACAAGCAACAGTAGTGCGAGAAGGGACAGGAAACTTAGGTTCCATAACTAAACAAAAATTTCTAAACCCTTCGTTCTCCACATGCCTAAAAGGTAATTCATCAATTATAATCATCTTTGTTAGTGCTTCCTTACAAAGTTTTTCATCATATCCTACTACTTTGAGAGATCCAATCCTACGACCATCATGATCCTCCTCTCTTTTTTTTAACAAAAGAGAGCGTTTTTTGTTTTTTGTCTACTTCCCTAATAGGAGGCTTCATACATTGATGCTGAAGGTGGTTCCACATATTACTAGTCTCATCTTGTTTTTCACGAGCACCATAATCCTTACTACAATAATTACAAGCTATGTAGCACGGACACGGGACACGACATGAACACGACACGGACACGCGGACACGCAATTTTTCAAAAAATGGGGGACACGATACGCTGGGGACACGTTTAATATATATAAATTTATTTATTTATTATATGTCTAAAATAAAAAGAAAATCATTAATTCTTATACAATTACAATAATAATAAAATTAATAAACATATATTTTTAATTTTTTTTAATAAAATGAGTTTTTTTAAATAAAAATAATTTATTTTATAAATTTTAGGTTTTAAAAAAAATAAGGATAGAAAAAGAAAGAAGAAAAAAAAAAGGAAGAGGGAGAGAGAAACAAGATAGGAAAAAGAGAAAAAATATAAAAAAAAGAGAAACAATAGAGGAGAGAGTGAAATAAAAAAGGCTAAGATAGAGAGACAGAGTCAGAAAAGCAGAGACGAAAGGGAGGAGAAGAGGAAGAAAATGAAGAGAAGAAGAATAGGGAAGACGAAGAGAAGAAGGAGAAGAAGAAGAGAGAAGATGAAGAATACCACCTCCTCAGCTTCTTCGATTGACAGGTTAGGCTTCTTCCTCTCCCTCAATCTCTTTCTCTCTTTCTCTGTCTCATCTCCTCCCTCGATCTCTTTCTCTCTTTCTGTCTCCTTCGATCTCTTTCTCTGTCTCCTTTGCAACAGTTTTCTCTCTTTCTCTGTCTTCGTCTCCTCTGCAACAGTTAGGGTTCTTCGATCCATTCATGCGTGTCCGGAAAGTGTCCCGGCGTGTCCATGGCGTGTCTGACTGAAAAATTTCAAAAAAAAAAAGGGATACGTTAGAGAGAGTGTCGGACACGTGTCTACTGCGTGTCTGTGTCCGTGTCCGACACGTGTCCGACACTCGTACGTAAGGCCTAGGGATGTGTTGGTGCTTCATAGATTACAAGTAGTCCTAGGTTTATCAGGCTCACAATCATCAAGTAAAGTGAAGTGTTCCCAAACCTCAAATTTCTTTTTATCTAAATTAATACTAGGGCATGGATGAGTTTTATCAGAATTTTTGGTAGGCATTGTGGTAGTGGTAGAACTAGCAATAGTAGTTGATTCTGCAGTTGGTATAGGAAGGTTTCCACCATCATTTGTATTTTCCTCATCCATTCTCTATTTCAAAAATAAAAAATTTATATGAATGATAAGTAAATAAATAAAAATTATCAATGATAATAAGTATGTATCAATAAAAGAGAGTGCATAGACAGAGAGAGAACAACCGGGCCATTTTTTTTGTTTTTTTGAATAGGGGTCAGCTGGGCCATGTACCTAATACCAACTATCAATGGTGTTATATATATATATATATGTGTGTGTGTGTGTATAAAGCAGAGAGAGCACAAGAACACAGAGAGAGCAACGAGAGAAAAGAGTAGCGCGCGTGCGAGAGAGAGAGAGAGAGAGAGAGAGAAAGCAGCGAGAGAAAGCAGTGAGAGAAACGTACCGACGAGTCGACGATGACGACGAGTAGGTGGCCGCCGATTGGCAAGGGAAGGAGAAACCAGCGGCGGCAGTGAGGAGAGGCTAACAGCGGTGAGCCGATCGGCAAGGTAATGAAAAGGAATTGGTGAAATGTTGTGCATAGCAGTGATGAATCAATGTGAATGAGATGAAATTGAAATGTGTGGGTGTCAATTAGGTTTAATTGAGGAATTATTGTGTGTGTGAGTATATGTATGATAGATATAATCTGTGGCTGGATTTGTGTGTATAACAGGCGATTTTTTTTTGTTTTTTTTGAAACAGATGCGGGTCGGGTCGGTTAGACCTGCGGGTTGGAAAATTTCACCCGCAACCTGTGTTGACCGGCTAGAGCTGGGCCTCCCACCCGCCCAACCTGCCCGCCAGAGTTGAAAATTTGTGTGGTTCAGAGCGATTCAGTGCGGTTTTGGCGATATTATGCACAACCCTACTGGAATGAAGTGGAATTGAATGATCATTTCATCAAAAATTTCATTCTCATGTTTGGTTTTTTAAAAAAGATGATGAAAAATGTATTAGAAATGGAATCATCATTTGCTGTACAAGGGAAATGATCATTCCATAGGAGAGCCAAAGGAATGGTCATTCCATTCCATTCTATCTCATTCCAGTGAATCAAATAGAGCATAACGGTAATATTGTGTGGATCCATAGAACAAGCATTCTTGAGTTCAGTTAGTTTATGGAGGAAATTTGCCTTTTCATTGCACCAATTTTGTATAAGAGTGGGTATATTAACTTTTATGCCCATTACTCAAAGCTCTTATATGACGGCTTCTTTATCATCATCATCTTCTTTTTACCATGTTATCTATAAACAAATGGAAAATATAAGTAATCACATTTTGCTACCTTAGGTTTGGAGCTGAAAAACTACACGCCTTAGATTATCAAGAATAAAAAACTTGAATAAAAACAGTGTTTTGAAACTTCTCTTAGAGGGGAAAATATCCTAAACCTATGAAGTATAAGTATGGATACAGGTTGTAGGTATGACAAATATATATGTTGAACGAGCTAATTCTAAAAAAGTAGGATAAAAAAATGCATTAAGAATATGACAATATATAAATGTGTGTATCATGTATGTATGTATATGCATGGTTGTCTAAATTGTACGATTTGCGATATGATTTGATATGATTTTTGCATAGAATGATTCAAATCGCAACTTGGAATTGGAAAATCAAAAGAATTGTCTGATTCAAAATCGGAATCGTTTGAATCGATTTGAATCGCCAATACGGATGAGTCGAAGCGATTCAAATTTTTTCTTTTTCCTCCCAGATGTGTAAAATGACATTGTTTGATGTCTTTAACCCCAAATAAGTCCATATCATCGATATACAGTAGAGAAGCCAAAAGGTCAAGCTAAGGCTTGACGAGCGAGGAATCAAAGAGAGAAGGGGAGAATCTGTCCAGGAAGAAGCGACGAACCTGTCAAGGAAGAAATCTAAAGTAGCTAGTGAGGAATCAAAGAAAGAAGTGGAGAATTTGTCAAGGCAGGAGCAACGAACCTGTCGTCTTCTCTCAGTCGGTAAAATATGTGTGGTTGACTTTTTGTTATCAATCTTTATAGGTCTCCTTAAGTTGTGGGTCTCCGCTCCACTGATCTTCTTTGATGATATTATATATATATTAAATAATATATATATATATATATATTTATGTAGATTATATATTATATAGATTTGTCCCTATTTGATTAATTTCTTATTCTTTATTTACTGTTAGCATTATAGTGATGCATGAAATTCATTTTTTTAGGAAATCGATTCACGATTTGATTTGTGATTTGACAACCATGTGTACATAAACATTAAGGTATTTTCATCACAACATGTTGAATTGTTGTCTATCTAAAAGTTTAAGCTGTTAGGGACATATGTAACTTTATTATTTATATCCTTTTACATGTCCCCTCACGTGTGGTCATGTTCTTCTCTGTAAGCCAGCCAAACGTGCAACAATTATATTTATCTGGTAGGCAGTGAGATTTAAGCCCATGATTAGTTGTTGACTCTGATACTAAGGAGTATGCAATGTATTGGAAATTATTCTTGCATTTATTTTAACAATGATAATCTAAAGCTATATAAGAAATGCCACATCTTGATTTTAGGATGGTTCATATACCTAAAGTATCCAGAAAGTATATGATACTCTTATCATAATAAAAAAAAAAAAAATTATGGATATGTTTAGAAAGTATCAAATGTATTCAACAAGTATTGAGGAGTATCATTATTGATGCCTACTCCCTATGATAAGAGTAACCCGTGACCGACCATCTTTCTGTAGTGCTACAACCCTTTCTATTTGACTAAAATGGCATCCACCTGAAGTACCTTTTATTTGCAAAAAACACGACAAACAGCCATCACCAAGCTTTTTATATCTAATGTTTTTCAAAAACTTGTAAATAAGTGATGTGATAGGATTTTCCATGAGCTAAGAACCACAAAATTGGGTAGACATGGGACACTACAATTTTTACAAATTACCTCCCCTGTAGCTGGAGGTAGTTTCCGACAAGAAGTGGTGGCTGAAGATGGTTGCAGCAAGTGGGAGGTGTTTGGCTGCAGCCGGAGGTGGTTGCGGACTGCAGGAGGTTGTGGTCAGAGGAAATTGTTGAGGTTGCTGGCGACGATGGTTGGATGTGGTGGTGATAAGCGGTGGGTGGGGGCAGGTGGTAGCGATTAGTGGTGGGAGGTGGCCGAAGGGGATGGAAAAAGGTGGAAGGAATGGAAATTTATTTTCTAAACAAGTTAAACCCATATTTTTTTTTAAACAAGAATTTAGTAAATTTTGTAAACTGTTAAATTTATGTTTACAACTTACAAATTTTTTGTAAATATAAATAGAAAATTATAAATTTAAATGTTACCAAACAACTAAGCAATTTAGTCTTTAATTTGAATTGGAGAATATGAAATTTCAGTCTGACAGCTTTGCATTAGGCATAGAGATGATTACCTAGCTGTTTTATGTTGCTTTTCATTTTGTTTAGTATTCCTTTGGTTGCTTACGGTGTTGTGAAATATACAGGTTTTCTCTGTAAAGGTTATTCGCAATAAGCAGACTGGTCAGTCAGAGAGGTATGGGTTTATTGAGTTTGTTTCTCGTGCAGCAGCTGAAAAAGTTCTGCAGAGTTTCAATGGTACCGTAATGCCAAATACAGAGCAAACCTTCCGCCTAAATTGGGCAGGCTTCAGCACAGGTGATAGGCGTGTGGATACTGGTTCAGATCTTTCTGTATTTGTAGGAGATTTGGCTGCAGATGTTACTGATGCAGTATTGCATGAAACTTTTGCTAGTAGATATCCATCTGTTAAAGGAGCCAAAGTTGTTGTTGATTCAAATACTGGCCGTTCAAAAGGTTATGGTTTTGTTAGGTTTGGCGATGAAAATGAGAGGTCAAGGGCCATCACTGAAATGAATGGCATGTACTGTTCATCTAGGGCGATGCGCGTAGGTGTTGCGACCCCTAAGAAGCAATCAGGGTATCAACAATATTCATCACAAGGTATAGTTTAGTGTTCCCTTTTCTGCATATGTATGATATGTTCTCACTTCCTTCCAAGCTCTGATCTGGGAGATGATTTATGTTGGTGTTTGGCTTTTGTCTTTCCCTGTGAAAACATAGCAATTATTGTTCAAATTTTGTTTACTGTGTTCTGAATTTGTCATGGTTACGCTGTGGTTTTGTTGTTCTGCATCATTGTCGTTTTTGGTCATGAAAATGCCAGTTGAATTTTTTCAAGCCACATTCCACACGGAAATTTTGAGTAATTGATTCTTGTGCTGGTCTGTTGGGTAACGTTTACGTTTTCAGTTTATATTTACAAAAATTTTATAAACTGGTTTTTGTTTATTTTTGTTTATTTTTAGAAAAACATAAACTACAAACAGTTTGGTAATTGACAAAATGTTTAAAAAAATTTAAAAATATAAAAAAGAGTGAAAATGGCAAGTGGCGGCGGAAGACGGTGGTGGGTGGTGTGGTAGCGGGTGGTGGCGGGCGGGTGGGGGGTGACGGTGGCAGGTGGTGGGTGGTGGTGGTGGTGGGTGGGGGCGAGGCGGTGGCGGGGGTGGGTGGGTGGGTGACGGTGGCGGGTGGTACAAGTGGGCGGCGGTGGTGGTGGTGGTGGCAGGGGTGGCGGTGCGGGTGTGGTGGTGGGTGGTGTGGCGGGGGGTGATGCGGGTGGTGGTGGTGGTAGCGAGTGGGTTGGTGGTGGCGGCGGTAGGTGCGGGGTGGTGGGTGGTAGCGAGTGGGTGTGGTGGGTGGTAGTGAGTGAGTGGTGGTGGTGGCGCGGCGGGTGGTGGGTGGTGGTGGCGGTGGGTGGCGGGTGGTGGCGGGTGCGTGGTGGGTGGTGGTGGCGGTGGGTGAGTGGTGGGTGGCGGTGGTGGGTGGTGGGCAGGTGGGTGGTGGTGGTGTGGGTATGTGGTGGTGGTGGTGGCGGGTGGTGGCTGTGGTGGTGAGTGGGTGGGGGGGTGGCGGTGGCAGGTGGGCGGTGGGGTGGGGGTGGGAGGGGGGTGGTGGTGGTGGCGGGAGTGGGTGGAGGTGGCTGTGGTGGTGAGTGGTGGTGGATGGGGTGGTGGTGGGGGGTGGTGGCGGAAGACGGTGGTGGAAAATGGTGGCGGGTGGTGTTAGTGTTGGTGGTAAAAAAAAAAAACTAAAAACGGAACACATTTTTTGAGTTTACATTTTTTAGCAAAATTATAAACTGAGACACTGATTTATAAATAAAAAATTTACCAAACAAGTTTTTATGAGTTTTTAAAATTTTTGTAAATATAAACAGAAAACTGAAAACTAAGTGTTACCAAACGGCACGCATTTCCTTATTTTATCATATCTTGATATTTTTGCATGCATCCTTTGATTCATATTCAAGACCTTGTAATTTTTATTTATTTATTTATTTTTTTATGAATTATTAAAGCATCTAGATTTTGCATAGAACACTATCTTTTGGTTTAACTGCTGAGAGTTAATAATCTCTAGCTGATTAACGTTATTATCATTTCAAGGCTGTCTATTTTATATCTATCCTTTCATTCTAAGTATAGACAACAACAACCCCCCCCCCCCCCCCCCCCCCCCCAAAAAAAAAAAAAAAAAAAAAAGAAAAAAAAAGAAAAGAAAAACTAATTTTACTTTCTTTGATAGCTCTGGTATTGACTGGTTTATATCCTTCAAATGGTGCTATGCCCCAGAAGCCCAGTTGATGGTGATTCATCGAATACAACAGTAAGTCCAGCTTCACTTGTCAGTTAGTTATTACAACTCTAGTTACATAAGTAACCCATTTTTCATTGTAGATATTTTGTGGGAGGGCTTGACTCTGATGTCACTGATGAAGATCTCAGGCAGTCCTTTTCTCAGTATGGCGAGGTTGTCTCTGTAAAAATACCTGCTGGAAAGGGATGTGGCTTTGTACAATTGGCTAACAGGTGCACTTCGACTAATGGATTTAATGTTATAATAGCCTAGCATTGATGACAGTTTTAGTTTCATTGAGGAATAACAAGCCAGTCTCAAATCAAAATGGTATATCAATATTTTTAAGACAGCAAGTTATTAAAAAAAAAGTAACAATGTTTTATATTTCAAATTTAAAAATAAGACAGAAAGTTAAAAAATATGTAGTATTCAATGGTAACTGCTGTTGATATTGAAAATATTGATGCGCACGTGCTTTTGAACATCATTTATAACCATGTTGTGGTCCCCCTTTTATTGTTTCGGTTTACAGAAGCAACGCTGAGGATGCAATGCAGGGGCTGAATGGGGCAGTTATTGGCAAGCAGACGGTTCGCCTTTCTTGGGGTCGAAGTCCAGGGAATAGGCAGGTAAATTTTCTCAACTTGAAGGAGTGCATGTTTGACTGCATAAATGCAATAGTCTTACCTTTTGGTGTTGACTTGTGCAGTATATTGAATCCTATATTTACTGTATTCTGATTCACATATCCTGTATAGCAAGATATGTTCCAAATCTGAGAGTTTATTGAAAAACACATCAAAATCTGGAAAAATATTCAACAAATGGCAAATATTGTTCCCTAGAAATCACTTGGTTAATGTGATGTATTCAGTGTTAAAATTTGTTTCTTAAATGTAATGGTTTTGAGTCTTTTCACAAACTATGGAACATTATAAACTTGAATGGTTTCAACTATCTCTTTTAAAGGGGAAACAAGTAGTTGCAAATAATGTTCTGCAATTTTCTTGTTTCTAACTACTATTCAGTGTAAAAATACCACATTTAAGTGTGTTAGCATTTTGTATAGATATCAAGTTCTTAAATATTGCAATTCAGGGGTAGATTATGATGGCAGGGGACCCCAAGGCAGCAAAAATCTTGGATGTATATAGGAAGGGAAGAGGTGCGTGTATAGTAAGGGATGGATTTTTCTTAATAGTAGAGCAGGGCTCAAAAACAAATATCTTTGCTGCTTTCATTTGTAGATAACCAGAGACACAGGAACACAAAACTAAGTGAGAAATTGGGGTCTCTTTAACCATCTACTAGTAGGACTGATGTGGCAGTGAGTTAAGAAATACTGGAGCACAATTTTTGAGACTTCCATTTTCTTTCTGAGTTCCTTAAAAATTATGTAGAATTTATTGTTAATATTCAACCACATGCTATGTGCCTCTAGAATAGACATTTTATTATTTTAATGTAATATGGCAAGTAACTTGAGGAAATAAGTCTGAAAATTCCACTGTTCTGCAAAATAGTTGGAGTTCAAAATACTAGTACTTCAATATTAGCATTAAAAAAATGGTGAATTATAAAGTAGTTTAATTGTATGCAGCACGGACCGGACACGGAGACACGCAAATTTAAAAAAATGGGAGACACGACACGCTGGGACACGTTCAATATATATAATTAAATTTATTTATTATATGTCATAAAATTAAAAAAAAAAATCATTAAGGATAATAAAAATACAAAATAACACTATTAAAATTATAACAAATAAAATTTAAAAATACAAATAACATAAAATTGCATTCCATCAATATAAAAAAAATTATAAAAGTTCAAAATGAAGAAAGAGAGAGAGAGAGCTAGAGCTGATGATTTACACTGACTGATCATATAAAAGAAAAAAAATAAAATAAAAGCTCAAATAAAGAGAGAGAGAGAGAGAGATCGAAGAAGAAGAAGAAGAAGAAGAAGAATGAAGAAAAGCAGCGAAGTCTACCTTAGATAACTGCAACAAAGCGAGCAATGACCACTGACGAACAACAAAAGACCACCTACGACCAGGTTTCTGTTTTTTCTGTTCTCTCTTTCTCGATTTAGGGTTAGATATTGTTTTGTTTTGTTTTTGTTTTTTACAAATTGACCCCACAAAAGTTTCATAAATGATGAAATTGACCCTGAACGTGTTCCCGATCATGTCCGCTACGTGTCCCAGTGTTATTAAGACGATAGGCGCACGAAGGCGCCAAGGTCTCCTGGGGCCTAGGCTGCAAGGCGCAAGTTTCACCGAAGTAGTGAGGCACACCTTGTACAGAAAAAAATATAACTTAATATAAGTAAATAATTTAGGGTTCAATATAAACAAAATGAAATGTTAAACATTTAGTATTTTTTGGAGATTAGGAATTATGGCTAATTTTCTTCTATCATTGATTTTGAGTTGAATGACCAATGTATTGGCATCTGTAATAAGAGTAGGGATCTTTGTAGCTACACCATATTAAATCAATTGTCAGATTTTAAACCAAAACTAATTAAAGTAACAATATAAAAAGCCCTCAAGATGCAAGTCTTGGGCCAGTTAGGTGCCTTATCACAGTTCGTGGCCTGAAACACTACAAGGCGCAAACCTTGGGCCTGAACGGGACTTGGGCCTAGGCGCAGCCTAGGGGCGCCTTATTGAAGTTGCCTGGCCTGGAATACTATAAGGTGCAAACCTTGCCTGGATGGGACTTGGGCCTAGCACGGGCCTAGGTGCGCCTTTAATAAACTGACGTGTCCGATACCAAAATTAAAAAAAAAATCACACTCTCTGCTGCTTGTTGGACACGTGTCCACCGCGTGTCCGTGCCCAATAGTGTCCGACATTGATACGCAGCCCTCGGAGAGGTGTCCGTGCTTATAGTTTAATTGCACGTAGACATATTCCCAGAAAAAGTTCGCATGTGAAAAGAGTGTCATTCTTGGTCTTCAATAATTTCCCCAACTTTCTAGCTTAAGGCCTACCTATTTTGGGAAATTGTATGAGCCTTCAAAATTTCCAATACAACCTGCTTATGGATAAGATTATTTTGCACCCTTCATTAGGGAGGTATCATAACTCATAAGTGGCGAGGAGAGTAGATTTTATTTTGAAGAGCAAATGAAAAGAAGGCTTTATATTTAGTTGGAGTACTCCCTCCGTCTCAAATTATTGTCTGGCAAGAAAAGGAATTTTTGTTGAGAATATATTTTTGTAAGTTATTGTTTTCTGTGTCGGAAAAACAATGTGACAGGGGAGTATAAAGGTTCTTTTGAAACAAGATTCCAATGTGTATTTCGTGAAAGTGTCTATTATCTGTCTTAAATATCCAAAGAGATAGAAGTGTGCATGCTTCTGTGTTCCCTTATTGTATCATATGCATATTGTAGATAGATTAAATTCAAGATGGGTTGCTTAGAGTGATATATGTACTGTTTAACTGTACAACATATTGTATTCCGTGTTGTACTATGTATCACAAGTTACTTACAACTATGTCTTTGGTATCCAATTCATGTCAGTTATTGACAAGCTCCACATTATCAGAAAAAAGGGTAAGAGACAAATTTTGCCTGCTATTTCAATGGCAAGTGCTCTTGTATGATTCAATAATTGGCATATATAATATTGAACTTGTTGGTAGGGCTTAATAATTCTCAGAAAAAATTGAGGCCAGAATGACGCTTTTTTCATCTGTTTTTCCTCATTGTGTATTGCATTAATGCAACTGAATCCATCTTACTTTGCTGCAAGTTTGGTGGTAAATTTTGGTAGAAGTTTTGTATCACCTTCAATTTGCTTATACTTTCTCAAGAGTTCGTTAGTTCTACATTTCAATACAATAATAGTAATGTCAACTGCGTTTTTACTTTTTATCACTAGCTTGTTTTCCTTATTTTGAATTCTTCTTTCTTAAATTTCCATGTGGATAGTTGAGAACGGACTCCAAAAATCAGGTGAACGGAGCTTATTACGGAAGGCAAGGTTATGGGGTTATGGATATGCCGTGCCTCAGAATCAGGATCCAAGCATGTATGCTGCATGCTGGGGCTTAGAGGCTGCTTCAAATGGAAATGGCAATCACCAATAGCCAGTCAGCTGAAGTTACTTGTTTGTTTAATTTAAATCACTGAAAGACATGATGAAAACTAGATGGATTTGGTTGTTTCTTTGTTGGATATTTTAGCCGGATTTAATTCGTCCCCAATATTTTTATTAAATAGAATTTATTTTGACTAAATTGGAATTAGATAAGAGTTGCATACATTATTGTGGAGCAAACCATTGAAAAGCGTCCTTGTTTGGGTGAGATGCTTTCAGTTCCGAAATGCCATGAGTGATCTTAGATCGGACAGTGAGCCATGTTTGCGCGTGTAACAATGCATATTTGTTTGAAATTCGACTTATTTGATCATTGTTATGGGTAGAGCATTTGATGAGTTTGAGAGAAGCATATTTTTTGAGGACTGAGGAAAGCGTAATTGATATGTTCTCGCTTGAAATTGACCAGTTGTAAATCTCGAATCCGTGGTAATATGAGAGTTATTGTGGATAGATGCTAAGTTTGAACCATATTAATTATTGGAAATCCCTTTATTTTTAGTGCATTAGTTGATTAAACTATTGAAATCTTTAAGCTGAAAGTGGTGATGAAATTGGTCATGGCCTTGTATGTGTTGCTTTGAAGTGTGACAGGGTTGGCCATTCTAATTTGATGTTTGAGATTTGTCCATATCCGTCGAATGGGGTGGATTTTACCTACACTTATGTGGAGCCAGGGTGGATTTATATTTTGGTTATTTGTAACGGAGGCAGGTACTGCTCTTTCGATTCAAACCCGACCTGATATAATTAATAATATATACAAATAAATAATATATATGTATATTATATAACATATAAGATAATTAGATATAAGAAAGAATAATAAAAGTCTGGTTTTGTTTAAATATAAATAAATAATAATTTTAAGAAGTGTCACTGTATTATATATGGAAACAATAAAAATTTTCAATGTGTGAAGATTTAAATGATTTTTAATTTTTTAACTATTTGAAATATGGTCGGGTATTTGCAAAGATGATGGAATTGAAAATTTTCACCCATAGCGGGTAGGGAATGCAAAACCAAGCCGTGGCCATCTCTTTGTGGAACAAAACAATGCTGGTTTTAGGAGTGTAAAAATGGCCCGCAACCATGGACTGCCTGAAATCGACCTAGTCTGAGATGGGCTCGACCGTTAGGCTTGTGCCCGAGTCCAACTTGAGAACTAGGCCTGGGCATTGCCATCATTTGAAGCTCGGCTTGGTCTGGTTCGTGGCCCGGTCCATCAGCTTACTTAAGGCTCACTCAAGGCTTGACCTCCCGCCGCTCAAGGCCTAGCATTTTTTTAATGAAAAATAATAAAATTTTGATAGAAAAAATTAAAAAGAACAAAAAAAAAAAAATATAAAGGCACCCAAGCCCGTGCTTAGGCCCACCGGCCTGCCCAAGGCTCGGAGTAATGGTGAAAATATTAACAGAAGTGATGACGATAATAAACCACAAAACTATCGAAGAATGACGTCGTAAAAATAATTGGCCAATGTAGAAAGAAGCAATACAAGAAAGTGAAACTCGCTCACAAAAACATGAAATATTTGACTTGTATCTCT